AGTTTGATTTTAGTTAAGTCCATATCCTGCCTCATGCCCCTTGTACATCATGAAAGACTTACTCTATGCCTCCTCCGGTCAGTTCAACCTAACCCACCCTTAGCCACGGGCTGGGCCGCCGTCTTCAGCCTTCCGTTCGTACTGCTAACGCTCAGTGCAGGTAAAAATCCTGCTGATTCCCGCAGTCGCGGTAGTGTCTCGTACAGAGCTGCAGCCACTCTTCGGGTGCGCTGGTGCGAGCCTGGGTCCATCGCTGCTGTGTACCTTCGACGCTCTGCTATGAGCCAAGTGCTACCCTCTACAACCTCGCGCACACAATCCCTCCTGCTTTCCTTCTCTCTGGCCATCCGCTCTAATTCTTCCCCTCCTGCCGCTCCCCGCCCCGCACGTCCTTGCCCGCTCCCCCCTCACTATACCATCCCTATAGTGCTTGGCCCCCACCTTTTCACCGATCTCGTCCCCGCCCCTCTGCCTTGCGCTCGTAAACACACCTCAGCACCGCCGCGAGCCCGCGCCCGCCGTCATCGCAGGCGCCGAGCTAGACGACGTCGTCGGCGCGCTGCCCGACGCGCCCGACGCGCTCCCTGTTCAGCAGCAGGCGCGGCACGCCGGGGCGCGCGTGCTCGGGCAGGCCGGCAAAGGGGTAGACGCTGAGGCTCGTGCCGAGGACGAGGACGAGGTCGGCGCGCGCGGCGAGGTGCGTGTTGTCGCGGAAGCGCGCCGGCAGGGCCTCGCCGAAGAAGACGATATCGGGCTTCACGAGGCCGCCGCCGCCGCCGCCGTCGCCACCACCGCTGCCGCTGCACGCCGCGTCGGCGCAGCGCGGCACGACCTCGTCCAGCACGTGGCGGCGCATGGCGTCGTCGGGAAAGGGCGCCTGGCAGGCGATGCAGCGCTGGGTGGCGAAGCTGCCGTGGGCCTCGATGATGAGGTCGCTCGGCACGCCGGCGCGGCGCTCGAGGCAGTCGATGTTTTGGGTAAAGTTCATGAGCAGCAGGCCCTTGTGCGCGAGGAGCGCGATGAAGGCGTGCGATACGGTCGGGTGGAAGTGGCCCGGGTAGAGCTCCTTGGCGAGGCAGTAGAACGGCTCCGGGTGCTTGCGGAAGTAGTCAATGTCGAAGACGGCCTCGGCGTAGGGGAGCTTGAGGCGGGCGAGGTTGGCGTAGAGGCCTGTGCCGGGGGAGCGAAAGTCGGGTACTGCGGACGGGTCAGCGGGGGGGCGGCTCGGTGAGGCAGATGTGTTTTCACGTTGGAGAAACTTTGCCATCGGAGGCTGGTCTCGATCTAGGATCAACACAGCACTTACTTCCAGCGGCGGTGGAAATGCCGGCACCGGTCATGACGACGATGCGTTCGGCCTTGCCTGCCTTGATGTAGTCGGCGACGGCCTTGAGGTTGCGGCCGGACAGGGTCTCAGGTGTGAGACTCTCGTCCGCCATGGTGGATTCCTCGTTTCCCATCTTGTGGTTGCGCTTGGGGGCACGGGACGCCTTGGGGTGGCGGTCACGGCGTCGGCGACCTATTTTGGCGAGGTGGCAGTAGGTTTGTCAGTTGATGATGGGTCATTCGACTCGACTGAATCACAGCAGCGCCGTGTGAAGGTGGATGAAGGAGCTTTCCAGGTGGCCGGCCGTATGAGAATGATGTGGAGGTGAGCAATGGGCGGGCAGTTGTGGCAGTTGTTACATCATGACCCACCTTCGGTGTGCTCGGTAAGATGGAGATGAGCGATGTAGGGCCAAGGGGGCATGGGGCATATTGCCTGTTGAATTTCTGGGTCTCAACCGTATTTCTCCCCAGTCCCGTCAGGCGTACTCGCCGTATCGCACTTGGATGTGTGAACTGTATGCGAAGGGAGGTGGACATGAGCTTGTTCATGGCTGAGGGAGGCGAGATGACATGGCACCCAAGTGCTTCATGTTGGTCATGTTGGAACAGAACCCTGGGACAGAAGCGTCGCTTCCACCATTTTTCATCATCCTTTGACGCCGGAATTTGTCCTCAGTATAGACTGATCACTGCCTGCCTGAAGAGCTCTATCATAGATCTTGGTAAGTCGTCGTTCAGTACATAGTTATAGCGGGTAGGCCTTCTAATGACAAGTATCGTACATGCATATAGATGTCCTGCTCGGTCTATCTCTTCATTTAAGTAGTAATATCTATTTTCTGCCACTTAGCTATCGATCATGTGAAGTACCAAGACCAAACCTCGGCGTCAAAGGATGGTCCAACGCAACGGCACATTCACTGTCCGTCGATCCGTCAGCGATTGCTTTTCCCATCATGACAATGTCGAGATGTACAGGTGCCCAGCCGTTGGGCGCTGTGGCCCCTGAAGCCCCTGTAAAAGCAGTGGCTACAGCGTGCCCAACCGACCCCACTCACCTCAGCCCGGGCCTTGTGGTCCACGACGAGAAGGAATCGTGTGTGATCAAGTAGGAAGGTAGCTACAAGACAACTCATCTTCTGACCGAAACTCGACGGCCCTCTCTGTCCGACTCCAACACCATGGCTTCCCAAGAAGCAAAAGTGCTGTCCACCGAGCCTCTGGTACTGTCACTCGACAAACCCGAAGCGTATGAACTGACCCTCACTGACGTCGCCAGCCCGAAGCGGAAGCCGCCTGGATCAAGCTCACAAAGCTCACCTACCGAGACCCGGCCGGCCAGACCCGAACATGGGAGTCGGCCGAACGGCGCACGCGGCCCAGCGGCAGCGACATTGACGCCGTCGGCATCGTCGCCATCATGCAGAGGCCCGCCGGCCCGGAGATTGTCCTGCAGAAGCAGTACCGCCCGCCCATCGACGCCGTCTCCATCGAGGTGCCCGCCGGCCTTGTCGATGCCGGCGAGACGGCCGAGCAGGCGGCGGTCAGGGAGCTCAGGGAGGAGACGGGCTTTGTCGGCGTTGTGGACGAGACGTCGCCCGTCATGTTCAACGGTAGGACACTACTTCTTACACCTACGAGCGTTTCTTGGTCTTGTTATGACGAGCACTACCTTCAGCGAGAGGACAGCGATCAGCGAGAGGACAGCGATCAGCGAGAGGACAGCGATCACCGAGAGGACAGCGACTGACCGAGACGGGAACAGATCCTGGCTTCTGCAACACCAACACCAAGATGGTGCACGTCACCATCGACATGTCGCTCCCCGAGAACCAGAACCCCGTGCCGCAGCTGGAGGAGAGCGAGTTCATCGACGTCTTCACGGCGCCGCTGTCGACCCTCTGGGACGAGTGCAAGAGGCTCGAGGCCGAGGGGTACGCCATTGACGCCCGCGTCGGGACCCTGGCCGAGGGCATCGAGCTGGCCAAGGCGTGGAGGCTGTAGTGGAAAAATGCAGCAGTTTCGTGTTAGCATCATCATCAAAATACTCATTAAAGACGGGGGCTCCCTCAAGGTTGTATTTTTTAAACACAAGACCAAAGAAAAGATAGACAGTAAAAAGAAGAAGACGCATCACAGCCGGCCCTCGCGCTTGAGCCCCTCATACAGCGCCAGCGCAGCCAGGCACTTGGCATCCCGCGCCCCAGCCCTCCACAGCTGCGCAAACGGCACGAGCATCAGCGTGATCCTCTCGCCCTCGTCCCGGAGCCCCGTCAGCCTGCCGCTCCACGTCTCGAGCTGCGCCCGCGGCACGCGCCTCTCGTGGCTGTAGATGGTGATGTGTTCGTCGCAGGCGCCGGCCGAGGGGTACATGGCGCACGGCAGGTTCTCGCCGCGCTCTCCGCCGTGGTGCGGCGCCTGTTTCGGTCCCTGCGCCTCGGCTTCGAGCGCGGCCGCGAGCGCCGAGAGGCAGGTCAGCTGGTCGGCGCGAATGTCCATGCCGAGCTCCTCGCGGATCTCCTTGGCCGCGACGCCGGCGAAGCTGCCCTCGTCGTCGACCATGCCGGCCGGCAGCTCGACAAAGGCGAGGCTGCCGGCGGCGACGCGCGGCTGCACCGTCAGCAGGGCGTAGCGCTCGTCGCTGTCGGGGCGGGCGTCGTCGGGGACGAGGGTCACGAGCATGGCGACGCTGGGGCCGCGCAGGAAGACGGCGGCCGGGAGGGAAGCGCCCTCGTCGTTGGAGACGTCGGCGACGGCCTTGAGGAAGCCGACGCGGCGGGGGCCGAAGAGGTCGTAGGCCTGGATGGTGATGGCGTGCAGGCGGTAGGGCGAGGCGTGGAAGGGGTGGGAGGGCGTGCGGGATTGCAGGGCGAGGGAGGCGGTCAGGGTCGAGACCCAGGTCTGTCATGTTGTCAGATTGGTCTAGCGGAAGGCTTGGTGGGGTGTTACATTAAAGGGCTTGAAACTGAGGAGCTGCTCTTCGGAGAGGCCGTCAGGCAGAGTGACGGGAATGCCGTGGTCTTGGAGTGTGATGGTCGACATGGTGCGAGACGAGGGTTTGGTGAGCCGTGTCGACTGGAAGTGACTAAGCCGAAATACTGAATGACGAGTCCCAATGAATGAAGCGAGAGAGGCTGCTTTAATGGCCCTTTGCTTCATTGTTTTTGGCGAGGGTGGGATGTTGAGAAGGTTGAGGCTGTTGACGATGGCCCGTGTGACGTCAACTAGCGATGGCTGCCTGCGAGCTGGGCCAAGTGGAACAAGTCTCGATGCACGACCATGTCGTTTGTGAAAGGCACGAGGCGTTTTCGCATGATTGGCAAGCTGACCGGGTGCCAGATAAAGTTACACAAGACGAAATCAAACAAGACGAAGCTAAACGGCCAGGAGACGAATCGA